CTTGTGAAAATCATTGGATGTAGATGGCCTGTTCTAAGACGGGAAAGCATGGTGAAGTCTGATCTGTTAAGTTGTGAGTTCAGGAGGGGAGTTTTCCCATCGAACCAGCAGGGTTTGATGTTATTTTGCCAATTTTGATTAAATTTGATTTTCAGTCTGTTAGAGTGATCATTTTCTGTTGGAAGGGTTGAGGATATTTTTGGGTTATTTTCTTTATATGCTCCTGCTTTAGCCAGTGAGTCAGCCCTTTCATTGCCAGGTACTCCCACATGTGAAGGGATCCATTGGAAAGTTATGGAGCTTTCAGGATTGAGGTCATTCATTTGCTATATTTTTAAGCAGGGCGTCGTGGCTATTGTAACAGTTTTTAAGAGCATAAATGGCTGCTTTAGAGTCAATGTATATGCAAGCCTTGATTGGATTTTCTTTATGGATATTTAGTAGTGCTTCGTGCACTGCAGTAAGTTCTGTAATAGTATAGTATAAAGTACTGTAGCGTAGTTTATTTGATAACAAATGAAAACATTAAAACACGAATGTTTCTTTTCACAAATAAATCAAACTTCTACTGTCCTTACTGAGATGAAAAATATTGGAAGGGCTTGGCTAATCAGTGGTCTCAGTGGTTTCGCCAAACGGGTTCACCACTGATGAGCAAAGCCCTCCCAATATTTTTTCATCACAGTAAGGACAGTAGAAGTTTGATTTATTTGTGAAAAGAAATATTTGCATCTTAATGTTTCCATTTGATATACAGTTAAACCTGTCTATAGCAACCCCTCTAAATAGCACCTTCCTCTCTATAGCCCCCGATTTTAAATACGTAGTACAATTCAATTTACATTAAAAGTGACCTGTCTATAGCACCCCCTCTAAATAACACCTTTCTCTCTATAGCGCCCGATTTTAAATATGTAGTACGATGCGATTTATAAAAAGTGACCTGTCTATAGCAGCCCCTCTCTATAGCACCCTATTTCGGTGGGTCCCAAGAGGGGGCGCTATAGACAGGTTTAACTGTATATTGATGGCATTTTATTGCTTTGTATTAGTTTATTCGATCTTATGTTAATTTATATAATATTAAAATTTTGTTATGTACATATTTGCATAGATTTAAATAGATTGTCATTGTTACATAAATTTGTAACCATTTTTAATATAAATTTGTGTATCTTTAGTTTTAGAGTAGACTGTTAGTTGGTATCAAAGAATAAAGCTCTACTTCCCTCTCTTCTGGAAACTTTTTTTTTCTAACACAACACAATGTGTTACGCAGACTTTGACTTTATCATCATCGAGGCTGACGTCACTAACACTACTACGACACATTACTACGCTTCAGGCTTTTTTCTGTTTTGATTTTTCGCTCGCTTGTTTACAACATTTGTATTGGAACAAGTCGTTCCTTAAATAAATATACAGTATAACCTCGTTAATTCGACACACACAAATTTGACACTCTACCTTAATTCGACCATATTCTGATGTCCCAACCTCCGGTCTATCAAATAACAAACCGTAATTCGACAGTATCGATAATACGACAGTTCCGATAGTTCGACCATTTAAAAATTCAAATTTCAACAGTTGAATGTTTTTTTACATACAACTTTACCGCTAAAATGATATTACGGCGGCGACGATCGGCATCGGTGGGTGCCGATAGAATCGCGCCGCACACTTTTGGTTTCAGTTTAAGTTTCACTTTGCAGTCCCGTTGCGCAATGTCGCGAGTGTTATTGTTTTGTTTGTTTTTTTACGCGGGAATTTAGGCTTTGTGCGCTAATTAATCCGGCAGCGGTCGCGCCCTCTTTTATACCTTGAGAGGTCGCGGTGGGTAAAATTTACCCACTTTTAAAACCTAAATAAATCGAATATTCGTTTCAATATTTTTATGGTATTCTATGTTAGAATAATGATTTGTCTATTAAATAACTTTACATAAAATCCTGAGATATAAAAATCATATTTTATTTATTTTATTAATAACAAATCAAAATATCAAATATTTATGATATATTTGACTATTTTATGAAAATAAAAATATATATTGAAGATAGGTTATCAAATATAAATTTGTATGAAAGTTATCACTTCCTTTCATAGAAATTAGGACTTGTTTCGCACTTTATGACATTCTTGATAAATTATTACAGGGTGTTCCTTCCACAGAAAAGAAAAACAGTCTTGGCAATATTGAATAGTTTTTCTGTCTTCTTTTCTTTCTGGCATTTATTGCATCGATGTCTTTCTCCTATTTTTGGCTTTTTAGATGGACCAGGCTCTAACAAATTAAAAATATCAGATGCCTTTTCCTTTATTTCACATGGCATTCTTCCGCTTACTGTGCAAACTTTGACCATCTCTTCAATGAGATCTAAGGATAAGGTTTTCAAAAAAATGACGTCTTGATTTAACCTTTGATGCGTTGCCATTTGCAAAATGAATTATCTGGGAATTTATTGCCCCAATATTTAAAAGTGAATAAAAAATAACCATGGGCCATCTTGAATTTCTAGCAGTTATATGTAGCTGTCATTTCGTCCATCACATCTACACCACCCTTTCTACACCATTTCTACCTCTGCTGATGACAAACTCTGAGGGGATTTCCTTTTTATTTCTTTTTAAAGTACCAACAATTGTTAGTCTATATTGGTGTAAAAGTTTTAGAGCTAAGGAATAACTGGTGAACCAGTTATTCATTGTTACATCGCAGCCAGTTCCCTTGATTGGCTCATACAATCGTTCCACAACGTCATTTGGACTGCTGCTGACATTGTAAGGACCTTCAGGGTTTTCTCATGAATAAATCTCCAAGTTACAAATCTAAAACATTTTTGAATCCATGAAAACAAATAATTTTATTCCATATTTATTGTGTTTACTTGGAATATACTGACTAAAATTGCATTTCCCTCTGAAAGCGTCAAGTTTTTATCCACCGTTATATATTCCGAAGGAGAATAATGCTTTTGGAATTTTTTTACAAAAGTATCAAGAATCATTCTCACAGCTGCTAATTTATCTTGACCAAGTCTTTCATTTTTTGTAGCTTTGTCATCAAAACAAATTACTCTGAGAAGAAATCGAAATCTGTTTTCAGACATAGCTATTCTACACAATCCAGTACTATCTCTTGCCCATGCATCATCTGTATTCAATTTATTTGCTTTCAAGACCCCAAGAAAGTAAATAATTCCCAATAAAGCTTTAATTTCATGTAGGTTTGTCAAATTAGCATCTCTTTCTCTGCCATAGTTCTGCTGAATATTCCTAATGTAAATGTTAGTATTTGTAACTATGCATTCAAGTATATTGTCATCTATAAAGAGATTTCAACAATCTAATATCGATTTAGCATTTTTTGCTTCACCCTTTACCCCTGGTAGATGTGTGATAATATTTTCACTGCGAGTTCGAACATTTTTTGGGGGAAGAGCTTTCTTCCATTTAGTCTTTTGGTCCTTTCCTATATAGTAATTGAAGCTTGGATCCTCATTGTTTTCTTCTTCTTATAATGCATACTGTTCAGTGTCTGTGCTCCTCTCTTCTATATTATCATCAGTTTCTGATTCCTCATCGGGATTTGGAATATGATTATCATCACGAAGAAAATCAGCGTTTGAAAGCATTTTACGTAAAATAATGTAAAAAAAATGAAATAAAATATAAATCCTACCTTATTGTTAGAAGAGAGAGAGAGAGAGAGAGAATAGATTGTATTATTGCACTTGGGGCAGCAAAATCAAACAACAAGAAGCCAGAAAGTAACTCGAAACTTAATTACGCAAACCAAAACCAAAAGCGATAAAAGGTTGCGCTGGGTAAAAATTACCCATTGACGAGGACTCAAAAGGTCGCACTGGGTAAAATTGACCCAAACATGCTAATAAAATGAATATATGTCATAAAATTAAAATTATAGGTTTATTATAATAATCTTTAAATAGAGATTTAGAAAGGTACTGAGAATATATTTTAAATATATATATTTTTTAATATAGAAATATTTTCGAAAAGTTCCTTCTGGGTAATTTTTACCCATTGCGACCGCTTACGGGTTAATATTATTTTCTTCTTAATTTTCAGCATTGAAATATTTTAGTTATTTTAAAATTTACAAATAATTTCCTTTTAACTAAATAAATCTTCATAAAATATGTAGCCACAATGATTATGATAACATTTTATTTCAATATTCCATTTCTGTGTTATTATAAAAGATTTAAACACAAAATCAATAACACCTGCAGCAACAGTAGATGCCTTTAATATAATAAAATCACTTTGTTATTTAAAACACATTCCAGAGGAAGAAAGACATGCATGTTTTTTTAAATAGACCATCTGGAATACATCCTGAATAGGATTTCAGTGCAAAAACAGACATCTTTAAAGGAATTTTTAAAAATATCTCTATGATTATTTTAAAATTATATTTTTAAATTTTCTTTTTATTTTCCCTATTTATTTCCTTTCAACTGCTATATTCTTCAATTAGAATAAAATATTATTTGTAATTATGTTTCAAAAATATGTATTATTGTCATTTTGTCCCTGATATTAAAGTTAATCATGAAAATAAAAAATAATACAAAAAGAACATGCACAATGGTTTCAATTAATATCATTAATTTATATTACAAAGCAATTTTAAAAAAATATTATTTTAGAGAGTTAGATGATTAGCTAATCATCTAACTTTAATTCAACACTTCCTTTAATTCAACCGAAAGCTCTGATCCCTTGGGGTGTTGAATTAAAGAGGTTCGACTGTATATATTAGTTTAAATCAAATGGGATGTCCTCGTAACTACAAATAAGTGAGTACAAAAACAACTTGGAATCTTTAAATAGAAACATCGTATTTTTGCTAAGCCTATCACAATGTTTTAATGAGTTTATATACAGGTGGGAATTTGACAAGAGTATTGGGGCAGGAATTAATAGAAACATTTAATACAAGAAAATAAGACCTAATCCACATAAATAAAGTTTCCGTGGTGTAGCGGTTATCATGTGTGCTTCACACGCACAAGGTTCCCAGTTCAATCCCAGGCAGTAACTTTTTTTTTTTTTGGATTAGGTCTTATTTTCTTGTATTATAATCTATAATCCAAATTGTGCTTTATCAGAACTCCGCCTTTACCGTTCCCAAGCCCGGATGAAAAAGGAGTAGGGGGAGCAGTAACAAGCTCACTAAAAAACCTGGGCTCAGCTGGCCCGGCTGATAGTACCCTGTAAGGGCTCCAGGGATACAGGATGAGCAGCATTTGTACTCCATGTTAGGAGCCGCTGCACATGGTGTCTGTTCCTCATGTCAGAGGCAGCCATTTCTTTTGGAGCTAAGTTGGACTGCTACTGAGTAGTGCTCCCAGTCTCAATGACAAAGGCAGACGCATTCTACTTCACCCAGATATGATTGAGTGGAGATAAGAAAGAAGAAGAAGAGAAACATTTAAAGTAGTTTAATTTTGAAAGACACTGGATATCTTAAAAGAAAGAAAAATGGCTGATTCCTGATTTTCTTATTGAATATCTGGTACACAATCTATTCACATGTGTCCAGCCAAAAGAGAAATATTTTTCTCAAATCTCCTCACAAGGTAATAAGACCATGGGATTCAGTGGAAGGATGGTCTAAACCAGGGGTGGCGAACCCTTTTATATTAGAAGGCCAATTTTCATTTTACCATTTTTGAGAAGGCCGCATCCATATATACATATATATATAATATAAAAATGAAGATAAGATTTTCTGCTTGATTTTTGATCATGTTGAGGATTATGGTATTGGTGATGCAGTCGTGGTTAAAATCTTGTAAGAATAATAATAAATATGGTTTTGATCAGAGATTTCTTTATTTGAGCTAAGGAGTATATATGAAAAACATAATTTGATTAAAGTACTGCCTGGCTTAAGGCGAGTAGAACAAAGAAAACAAAAGATTATTTACATAATGTACAAAGGTTTTGAGCCGGCCAAAGGGGAAAAACAACAATGAGTATTTATAGGGAAAGAATGACCTCTGGCGGTCGATTTAACAGAGTATTTGAATCGATGAAATATAATTTTAAATAAAATTATACTTTAATATAACATAATTTTAAATAAAATATTTTAATATAACATATATATATATTAGATAATAAAAGGCATATATTGGATTTAAAAATATATTTATTTTGCCAATATTTCGGCTGGCTGAACGCCAACCTTTATCGAGGCATTACATTTTTGTATACACAAACTCAGCGCCGCATAGTGTTATAATATCACAGTTGAAATCAATTAAAATACAGAGTAGGTGGGAGAAATTTGTGAATGTAAAAAATAATTATTATAAAAAATTGCAATCAAAATGTAAAATATATTAAAATATTAACGGAAAAATATGGGTTCTATCTTTATATTTTAAAATGTTTTTAAAAAGTACATAAAAATAATGTAAAAATATATGTATCTATTAAAACATTTGAAAATGAATTTAAAATGATTTAAACAATAAACTGTAAGAACTTTTTAAAAAGGTTTAACAAAAAATGTGGGTATTTAAAAATTCATTTCAAAATTGATGGAGATCGATTTAAATGTAAGTAAAAAATATTTTATAAAAATGCATTGAAATGGAAGTTAAAGCAATTTAGGAAGAATATATGAGAAAAAAAAAATAGATTAAAAAGTGGAAACTAAAAAAGTTTAAAGTATTTCATGTAATAAGTTATATATTTAATGTATCAATACTTTTGTGTATTAAAGCGATAAATGTAAAAATAATTAAACAAGTGGTATGTATTAATTACAGGTAATAACTAATGTGTGAAAAAAATAATTTAAGAAATCGCGGGTATTACAACAAAATTTAAAAATTCATTAAAGCAAAAAAAATAAATTAAATAAAGCAAAGTTATGTAATTTAAAGAAACGGCACCTCTCCCTTTAAAAAAGTATAAAATAAGTCAATTTAAAAATAAAAATTGACTAATTGAAATTAAAATAATTAGACAAAAAAAAAATTAAGAAGATCTAAATGGTGTGTAGATGTCTGGTAAATCAATTTTCCTATTAATGCTTTCTTTGTCTTCTGCAGAGGCCCAGCTTTCTAAGAACAATCGGCAGTGTTTCTCTTTAATGTTCTGGTATAAAATAGCTGTATTTTCGAAATCCGGAGTGTGGTTGTTTTTTAGTGCATGATCTACAAGGAGAGACAGTGGGTTGTAATTCCTTAGTCCTGATTTGTGTTGATTTAAACGATCTTTAAGTGGTTTGCTGGTTTCACCTATATAATTAGCTTGGCAATTGTTACAAGGTATTTTGTAAATTACGTTGATTTTGTTTTCCATTTTGTTAATTTGTTTAGTGTCTGGATGGCGTAAGGCCTTTTTTAAATTTAAAGATGATTGATAGGTAGTTATGATGTTGTATTTCTTTAGGACTCTGGCGATGCGTTCAGAGCCGTAGCTGTAGGGGAGGGAGCAGTAAAGTTTTTTTGATTGATCAGGGGTGTTATTTAAAAGTGGAGATTTTGGTTTATAAAAATGTTTTTCGACAAATTTGCTAGGGTAATTGTTGTTTTTTAATTCTCTGAAGATTCTATTTCTCTCCACTATATCATTAAATTTTGAAGAACAATGTGTATCTAATCTTTTGGAGAGAGCTTTAACCACAGCGATTTTATGATGAACTGGGCCAAAAGAATTGAAATTCAAATAATTTCCTGTGTGGGTTGGTTTTCTAAAAATACTAGTTTCTATTTGATTAACCTTTCTTTTAAGCTGTAGATCTAAAAATGCCAGAGAATTATTATTTTCAAATTCATGTGTAAAATTTAAAAATGGTCTTAAATTATTTAAAAATTTTGAAATTACAACAAAATCTGATTCTGTTATGCAAAAAATGTCATCTATGTACCTTTTCCAAAAAATAATTTTGAGTTGCTTTGATTCTGTGACAGCTTGATCAATTTGGTCCATGAAAATGTTGGCTAAGGCCGATGAGATTGGGTTTCCCATCGGTAAGCCTTTGATTTGTCTGTAGAATTTATTTTGGTGGCTAAAATAATTGTGTTCCAAACAAAGTTTAATTAAATCAATCAAAGCCTCTGTGGAGAAAGGAAAATCTAGATTTTGATGGGTTTCTGTAAATTTTCGAAGTGCTAGAATAGCTTCATTGTGTGGGATTGAGGTGTAGAGTGATTCAACGTCGAAAGATACCATACGGCTGTTTTTAGCCACCAAAATAAATTCTACAGACAAATCAAAGGCTTACCGATGGGAAACCCAATCTCATCGGCCTTAGCCAACATTTTCATGGACCAAATTGATCAAGCTGTCACAGAATCAAAGCAACTCAAAATTATTTTTTGGAAAAGGTACATAGATGACATTTTTTGCATAACAGAATCAGATTTTGTTGTAATTTCAAAATTTTTAAATAATTTAAGACCATTTTTAAATTTTACACATGAATTTGAAAATAATAATTCTCTGGCATTTTTAGATCTACAGCTTAAAAGAAAGGTTAATCAAATAGAAACTAGTATTTTTAGAAAACCAACCCACACAGGAAATTATTTGAATTTCAATTCTTTTGGCCCAGTTCATCATAAAATCGCTGTGGTTAAAGCTCTCTCCAAAAGATTAGATACACATTGTTCTTCAAAATTTAATGATATAGTGGAGAGAAATAGAATCTTCAGAGAATTAAAAAACAACAATTACCCTAGCAAATTTGTCGAAAAACATTTTTATAAACCAAAATCTCCACTTTTAAATAACACCCCTGATCAATCAAAAAAACTTTACTGCTCCCTCCCCTACAGCTACGGCTCTGAACGCATCGCCAGAGTCCTAAAGAAATACAACATCATAACTACCTATCAATCATCTTTAAATTTAAAAAAGGCCTTACGCCATCCAGACACTAAACAAATTAACAAAATGGAAAACAAAATCAACGTAATTTACAAAATACCTTGTAACAATTGCCAAGCTAATTATATAGGTGAAACCAGCAAACCACTTAAAGATCGTTTAAATCAACACAAATCAGGACTAAGGAATTACAACCCACTGTCTCTCCTTGTAGATCATGCACTAAAAAACAACCACACTCCGGATTTCGAAAATACAGCTATTTTATACCAGAACATTAAAGAGAAACACTGCCGATTGTTCTTAGAAAGCTGGGCCTCTGCAGAAGACAAAGAAAGCATTAATAGGAAAATTGATTTACCAGACATCTACACACCATTTAGATCTTCTTAATTTTTTTTTTGTCTAATTATTTTAATTTCAATTAGTCAATTTTTATTTTTAAATTGACTTATTTTATACTTTTTTAAAGGGAGAGGTGCCGTTTCTTTAAATTACATAACTTTGCTTTATTTAATTTATTTTTTTTGCTTTAATGAATTTTTAAATTTTGTTGTAATACCCGCGATTTCTTAAATTATTTTTTTCACACATTAGTTATTACCTGTAATTAATACATACCACTTGTTTAATTATTTTTACATTTATCGCTTTAATACACAAAAGTATTGATACATTAAATATATAACTTATTACATGAAATACTTTAAACTTTTTTAGTTTCCACTTTTTAATCTATTTTTTTTTTCTCATATATTCTTCCTAAATTGCTTTAACTTCCATTTCAATGCATTTTTATAAAATATTTTTTACTTACATTTAAATCGATCTCCATCAATTTTGAAATGAATTTTTAAATACCCACATTTTTTGTTAAACCTTTTTAAAAAGTTCTTACAGTTTATTGTTTAAATCATTTTAAATTCATTTTCAAATGTTTTAATAGATACATATATTTTTACATTATTTTTATGTACTTTTTAAAAACATTTTAAAATATAAAGATAGAACCCATATTTTTCCGTTAATATTTTAATATATTTTACATTTTGATTGCAATTTTTTATAATAATTATTTTTTACATTCACAAATTTCTCCCACCTACTCTGTATTTTAATTGATTTCAACTGTGATATTATAACACTATGCGGCGCTGAGTTTGTGTATACAAAAATGTAATGCCTCGATAAAG